TGTAGGTGAGAAATGTAAAGGGGGACCCTATCCCCTCAACCTCTGAGGGGCCCTGGGCGACCAGGGGCTGTCCCCACCTGAGGGGTCCCAGCCTTCCTATAAGGCAGTGTGCATGGTGATGACTGAAGTCTCGGGGTGATCTCCCAGCAAGAGGTCAGGTCTTGGTTGTGTGTCCCAGGGTCTCAGTGAAATCAGCTGCTCCCCTGACCCAAGGCTCCCATGCCTCTTCACAGCAGGCCTACTGTTACCAAGGCCAGACCCTTTCATCTTTCAAAAGACTGACTAAAAATGCTTTAAAGAAGCAACCTTTGGCCGGGCATGCTGGCTGACACCTGTAATCCCAGCACTTTGGGAGGCCGAGGTGGGTGGATCACCAGAGGTCAGGAGTTAGAAACCAGCCCAGCCAACATGGTGAAACCCCGTCTCTACTAAAAATAAAAATTAGCCTGGCGTGGTGGCAGGTGCCTGTAATCCCAGCTACTTGAGAGGCTGAGGCAGGAGAATGGCTTGAACCGAGGAGGCAGAGGTTGCCGTGAGCCAAGATCACACCACTGCCCTCCAGCCTGGGCGACACAGTGAGACTCTGTCTCCCAAAAAAAAAAAAAAAAAGAAAAAAAACATAGGAATAAATGTAGAGGTCAAATGCTTGTTTGTCCAACTGCGACAGGAGTGTCATCCCTTGAGCAGGCCACATTCTCCCCACGAATTGGCGCAGGCAGATACTCTGGGGTGGGCAGGGTGGGCCCAGGGCAGCATCTCCTTCCTCACAATTGGAGCATAAGCCACCGAAAAAACAAATGTACTTTGTGTACTTTCGTTGACTGAGGAGTAATGTAGGTAAGAGAAAGGACTCTGCTTATTTATGTATTTAGGACTCTGTGCTGATTTATGTAAGCATAGTTGCATCTCTGTGTAAGCGGAAGACAGCAATATAATTCTTTCTATTAAAGGGGACGTTCAGTGCAGCTACTGCAGAGCACTGTCAGGACACAGGCCTCCACCGCCCCTCAGGAGGGACTCAGTACATCTCAAGGGAGTTTTATCCTTAAAAACCAGAAGCCACATGGACATCTACCTTGGGTGGATTTGGTGGGCCTCGGGACTTCTAGCAGCAGAAGGCCTTGGCTTCCTGAACACAGATGGTGCGGGTCTCATCGCAGCGAACCCCCTTGTTTTTCTGTTCCTCTGCTGCATTTCAGGGGACACTGTTCAGCCTTCACCCAGTCACAGGTGTACTAACACACATGACTCACAGGATTTTTGCCTTAGGCATACAGAACTGCATGGCAGAAACAAAACCACCAGCTAGCAGAGAGGCCGAGGCCTGGCTCTGCTGTGAGATTGCCAAGGTCCCTGCAGCCCCGAGCTGCTGCAGAACCCACAGGAACTGACTTCCAGAGCTTTTTTCTGGGGTCCTGGTGCAGGGCCCCACCCACCGTTCACAGGTGGAGCTTGAAGCTCTTAGACCCTAGGCTCCCGTGGCTACCATCACCGGGCTTTGTGGCCAAGTCCCCAAAGTGGGTGGACCCAATTTTGAGGACTTGTGTTTCCCCAACTCCCTGCAGTTGACGCTGACATCGGTGTCTGCTTGTGGTTTCAGTCAATATCTTGACATTTCTTTTTTTTTTTTTTTTTTCTGGAGACGGAGTCTCGCTCTGTCGCCCAGGCTGGAGTGCAGTGGCCGGATCTCAGCTCACTGTAAGCTCCGCCTCCTGGGTTTACGCCATTCTCCTGCCTCAGCCTCCCGAGTAGCTGGGACTACAGGCGCCCGCCACCTCGCCCGGCTAGTTTTTTTTTTTTTTTTTTGTATTTTTTAGTAGAGATGGGGTTTCACCGGGTTAGCCAGGATGGTCTTGATCTCCTGACCTCATGATCCGCCCGTCTCGGCCTGCCAAAGTGCTGGGATTACAGGCTTGAGCCACCACGCCTGGCCAATTTTTGTATTTTTAGTAGAGACAGACAGGGTTTCACCATGCTGGCCAGGATGGTCTCGATTTCTTGACCTTTTGATCCACCCGCCTCAGCCTCCAAAGTGCTGAGATTATAGGCATGAGCCACCACACCCGGCCAAGTCTTTTTTTTTTTTTTTTTTTTTTTTTGAGATGGAGTCTCACTTTGTCACCCAGGCTGGAGGGCAGTGGCCGGATCTCAGCTCACACTGCAAGCTCTGCCTCCCAGGTTTACACCATTCTCCTGCCTCAGCCTCCCGAGTAGCTGGGACTACAGGCGCCCACCACCTCACCCGGTTAGTTTTTTGTGTTTTTTAGTAGAAACGGTTTCACCGTGTTAGCCAGGATGGTCTCGATCTCCTGACCTTGTGATCCACCCGTCTCGGCCTCACTAAATGCTGGGATTACAGGCTTGAGCCACTGCGCCCGGCCTCTTTTTTTTTTTTTTTTTTTAAATGAGATGGAGTCTTGCTCTGTAGTTCATGCTGGAGTGCAGTGGGGTGATCTTGGCTCACTGCAACCTCTGCCTCCTGTGTTCCAGTGATTCTCCTGCCTCAGCCTCCTGAGTAGCTAGGGACTACAGGCTCCTGCCACCACGCCCGACTAATTTTTATTTTTAGTAGAGACAGGGTTTCACCATGTCAGCCAGGCTGGTGATCAGACTGCCTTGGCCTCCCACAGTGCTGGGATTACAGGCGTGAGCCACTATGCCCAGCCTAAGTCAGTTAAGTCAGACTGAACCTATTTTTAAAGTTTACTGCTTTAGGTTGTGAGAATGTAATTTTGGCCATATTCTCCTTTCCTTCCATTTCTAGTTTTCTCAGAGTTTCAAAATTGTTGTATATTTCTTAACTTTTAAAAACTGAAGTTTTGGCCATAGTGCTTTTTTTGGGGACGGGCGGCAAATTGTCAACATTCATTTGTTAGTTGACACACCTATGGGAATCAGTAAGTTCTTTTTTAGCTGTATTTTCCTTGGCATAATCAGCTCCAAGCTGCAGCGACCTCTTTCTGCAAGGAGACAAACTGAATGAGCTTTACAAAGTTTCTGGCCCAAACTCTGGTAGCAAATGCCGGACCAATTTAAATGAGGGTTGGCAACCAGGGTGACAATTTACAAATGCTGCCCGGAGCAAATCGAGACGTTGGTTAACCTGGGAGTGGGGAGGGCTGGGGTGAGGAAGGGAGCCGTGGGCTGATGTGTGCTTTTTGTGTGGACATATGTGCACATATGTGCAGGCATGTGGTCTGAGCGCACACATATGTAGCATGCATGTGTGTGTGGCCAGTGTGTCTGCGGCCAGGCTACCTGAATGGTCCATCCAATACCCATGGCATTGTTCATCCCATGAGCAAGTCATCTCTCGTGCTCGTACAAATGATTTATATAATACATTTCCAGCCAGAAACACTTTCACTTAAGCTTTTCTTTTGCTTTTATTACAAGCATATAATATTAATTGGCAAAACACTGAATACAAGCTTCACTATCATAAAATCAAAACATTTAAGCAATATTCCAAAAAAGATTTGACAAAAACTAGCCACCAAGAGTACAAAAATTACACACCAACACAAAGCATAAAAAATGTAAACTTTCAAATTAAACAGTCAAAAACATGTATCTGCGTGATCACCTCCACACCTCGACTGCCTTCGTCTGCTGCACGCTGCTGGTAATGGCTGGGTGGCTGCACCGTCGTCCCCTAACCCAACATTGCTTTCGTCTGGGAAAATGCGTCTGATAGCCAATTAAGCCATGGGAGTGGACATTTACACGGAGGCTACGCACATCTCAGGGGACGCTCAAACTGCAGTTCGTTCCTCAGACGCACTATTGGGTGCGAAGGACACCTGGAGGGTGAGGGAGACCTCGGCGCGTTCCTGCGGGGCCTTGGCCACGTGGCCATCGCCCGCACCCTGTCCCCTGCCTGGCAGGGGACACAATATTTGTACAGATTATGGTATCATTTGAATGATTTTCTAATCTACTTATCTCAATTTATTTATTTAAATGTCAAGGCAGAGAAAGATATTGATCATGTTAAGGTCACGTGATGTGGTGGCGCAGTAATGACTTCCTGAGGAAACAGAGAATTGGATGTTTTGTGATTTAGCTATGTGCACTAAACTTATTTTCCATGTTTTGAGAGCACATTAAACATTCACGTACAATGTGGGAACAGGCTGGCTCATACCCAGAACGTCCAACCCAATGCCACCCTTTGAATCACTGTGAATGCCGTTCTGTTGCCATTCAGAGAAAACAAGCAAGGCTGCAAAGCCCGGGGGTGCAGGCAGCTGCAGTGTTTGGGCCAGGGCAGCTCTGCTCTTGTGGTCTGAGGCCATGTGGCCCCGCCTTGGGGCGGCCTGGCCACAAGCACGTGGGGTCCAAGGCACCAGGACCCAGGCAGGACCGAGGTGGCCCCACAGCGTGGCCCGAGGCATCACTGGCTGACAGGCACTCACACACAACCCCAATGACAGCATTCTCACAATAATAACAATGAAAAAGGAAAAACCAAAAGCTGAATGTATATATTTTGGAATTCCATCTATGTTCCCTTTCAATTTAGCAGAATAAATGCTACATTACAATTTAAACAGATGTCTAATAAATGTGTGTTGGAACCTATTGCACAAAAGCATAAAAAATGCTCTTCATCCACATAAAACAAAAACATACAAATTAAAAGCTACTCAAAGTAAAAAGAAGCTTGCAAAACATCTCACAATTTCATTTTATATGCCTGTAAATAAAGCTGGACCACTGAAACCAAACAATTGGATGGGAAAATATGATAGAAGGCTTAAAATAGAATAAATAATTTTATAAAGTTAAGTTTTCTTTTTTAACCCCCCAAATCTTAAATTCAATATTATATATTCTATTTGAATTTTCTATTTCCATGAAAACTGCATTGGTGAGACCGTATTCCGGGTAATTAGCCCCACTGCTGTTGAAAACGACGCATAAGGTGATTTAACAGCATTTGTTTTACCAGCATAAATAGTTGTGAAAACTTCTTCACAGTAACTCCATCTGTTTAAAAAAAAAAAAAAAAAAACCACTTAATAGAATCCAATCATTAACCGATCCTGGCTTTCATGCTGGAAAAAATGAAATTCAGCCTTTTTCTGTGAAATGAGAGCTTGACAGAAAGGAAAGAAGGCCGCCCAGAGGCTCCACGGACGGCGGGGCCATTGCACTCCAGCCTCCAACGACTAAGGCTGCAAGGTCAGACGAGAGGCAGAGGCCCCAGGGCCGAGTCCTGTAGTGAAGACTGTCTGCACGATGAACTCCTAGAAAAATAGGGACTTCTGCTGCTGAGGTTTTGTCAGGTTAACGCGGTTACAAAAGCAGGGTCACCACCGGCTGGAGACATCAACACGGGCTCCACTCACCCGTCTCTCTGTGTATTTAAATATATCAGCTTAGCACCATAGCAAAGTCAAGTGATTTCAAAGATAGCTACAAAGTTACAAATATATATTATGACATTATTACAATGATATTCAGTTTAATCTGAACTGTGATTTAATTTTATTTTAATTTGGAGGCTTGTAACTGTTTAATCCTTTCTTATTCCGCCACACAGGAAAATGCCTAAGTTCTAATGTTACACTTAAAACTGCACTGTGATAACACACGGTTGTACAGAATGCTTCAGCAGTATGTATATTTTGAGGTAGACAGGTAATATTTATTCATACACAGCTACTCATAGACCCTTATACAGTGACTCTAGAAAATGATTTGGATGAACAGCAAGCTTAGGTAACTGAGTAACTCAAACCATCCTGGGAGTTGATGGGCTTAAAGAAAGAGGTGAATTTTGACCAATTCCTAACAAAGAACTTGCTTTTGTTTTAAAAGGCCTTACACTGACAATCACTCAAATGGAATTAATATGCATGTTTTCCTCATCCCTCAGATGAGGTCTCTTGAGCTGCTTTTTATCTAAAGGAAGCAGAAGAAAACAGCAAAATTCAAGAAAAAAATGTCCAAGGTGGATGGCTTCTTGGAAAGCCTGAGTGGTGGCCAGGGACCACCTGGGCTCCCAGGGAGCGGAGGGAGGAGGGATTCAGTTCCACAGGAAATAAATGGGAACAGCCTGGCGGAGAAGACAATGACAACTGCAGGACAACACCTCAATTGCTCCAGAAAACAGCCCTTGCTCCTCCTTCTGGCCTTTCCACACTTCCAAGTTACTGTTTTAAAGGAAAAAAAAGTGTGTGTGTGCTGACAGTTTATTCTCTAATGTGACAAAAACATGACCATCCAGGAGGAGAGGGGCTGACACTGCAACCAACTGAGGCTGAAACACAGCTTCAGCTGAAATGCAGCATCTGCAGAGCGGGGGTCATCTTCCCTCTGAGCCCTTCAGCTGCTCACCCTGTCCCTGCAGCTCAGAAAAACACCCTTCCAGTAATGGGCGGAGGAGCACAACAAGCTCCTCCCACCAGCAAAGGGGAAGGGGAGACCTTGGACAGAGGGGGCAGTGAGTGCGTCTGGGCATGAGCCCGAAGCAACCACCAGCAAATCCTCCCCATGGACGCCAGGAGAGCTCTGATCCCAACCACCACCACCTCTCCCTTCAGCAAAAAACGGGGAAAGAAAACGTAGGAAACCAAATGGCGGCACTCAACAATTTGTGCCGTTTTTAATACAAGTGATTTTTAAAAATAAGAATTGTTCTGCAAACCAGCACTGAGCTGGTCACATGGCCTCTGGTCTACCTGCTGAGCGTGTCAGAAACCGCAATGTGGAGTCTGGGATCCCGTTTCCAGGGCTGGGTGTGTCGGCCCCAGGCGAGTGACAGTTCGAGTGAGTCCCAAGTGCCGACCTCACACAATGAAGGGTGAACCAGTCAGGGAGCTGCTGTCGTGTTTCATAAGGTGGGAAATTGAATACAATGGTCAAATCATAATGTTAATGGAAACCTCTTTTGATTTGCTTTTAAATTAATTTTTCATATAACTTCTAAATCTTCAAGAAGCTAAAGGCAACATAAATATTGTCATTCACCATGAAGACATTTTTTCAATAACTTAGGAAGGATTCAATAAAAGTCCAACTATTATTTGAGGCTTATCATGAAACCTAATTCATAAACTAAACTGAAGTGAATTCAGATTTTCAAGACCTGGAAAGCAAGCAGAGGGAGCTCGTGTCAGAAGGTGACTCAGAACCGTGTTGCCTGCGAGAATCACTCTCGCCTGCGAGGCTGAAGCACAGGGTGGGGGATTGGGGAGAGGACGATCGGCTCTGGGAGACTGTGAAGTGTTTTCATCCTCTGTAAACGTGGTGCTGGTAGTGTCTTGTTGAGTGTGAATTCTCTCTCATACAAAAGTTATAAATATTCTCTATTCAGAAGTCTGGTCCACATGACACCCAGAGGCAACGTTCTTAAGCGTGGTGGCCGGGAGCACCCAGGGGTGCAAGGGCCCAGTCTGCGGGTGCTGTGCGGCGCCATTCACAGCAAGTCCATCTTGGGTCTGTAGTGCAGCAGGAGCGGCGCCTTCTGGAAGACACAAGAACACAGCGCCTGCTTAGCAGGGGTGGAGGCGAGGAAACAGACTTACTTCATCGGGAAGGGCACTGAGGAATTGCGTCCCGTGAGACACAGTCCACACGGAGGACTACATAGAGACCCTTCTGTTCTGAGCAATGTCAAGATGCCAGTGGGGGAGACAGGCTGGGAAGACATGCGCCCTCTCCCCTGGCCCCAGGTGACCACCTTTACCTGATGTGGCCCTGGCCACCACTCCCTTGCCCCCTTCTCCCTCAAACCCTCTGGCCCAGCCCCAGGCCAGCCTTGGCTCCTTACCCCCCTCCCCAGGCAGCAGCACCAGCTGAGGTGGGAGAATTCCACCACTGGTTTCCTGCTTCAGAGGGGCCCAAAGGCCCCAGGGGACCCTCTGCTCATGGCACTCATGGACTCGGCAGTTTCCCACCGGGGACTGTGCCCCTCAGAGCTCAGCTGGCGCCTTCCAAGCTGGCTCTGGGGTTGATGATTTCAGAAAGACCAGAACTGTGTTTCATAACCATCTCTGTAGCTGAGTCATCACTTTTTTTTTTTTTTGATACGGAGTCTTGATCTGTCGCTCAGGCTGGAGTGCAGTGGCATGATCTCAGCTCACTGCAAGGCGTGCAAGCTCCACCTATCAGGTTCATACCATTCTCCTGCCTCAGCCTCCTGAGTAGTTGGGACTACAGGCGCCGGCCACCATGCCCAACTAATTTTTTGTATTTTTAGTAGAGATGGGATTTAACTGTGTTAGCCAGGATGGTCTCAGTCTCCTGACCTTGTGATCTGCCCACCTCAGCCTCCCAAAGTGCTGGGATTACAGGCGTGAGCCACTGTGCCTGGCCAGAGTCATCACTTTTAAGCTTTTAGAAAAGAGATGTGGGGCCAGGCGCGGTGGCTCATGCCTGTAATCCCAGCACTTTGGGAGGCTGAGGCAGGCGGATCACGAGGTCAGGAGATCGAGACCATGGTGAAACCCCATCTCTACTAAAAAATACACAAAATTAGCCAGGTGCAGTGGCAGGCACCTGTAGTCCCAGCTACTGGGGAGGCTGAGGCAGGAGAATGGCGTGAACCCGGGAGGCGGAGCTTGCAGTGAAACGAGATCGTGCCACAGCACTCCAGCCTGGGCGACAGAGCAAGGTTCTGTCTCAAAAACAAAAAAAAAAAAAACAAAAAAAAAAAAAGAGATGCACAGCAAAGTCACTGCCATTCAGAGCAGACTCTGAAAATCAAATCACGCGTCTCACCTTGAATCTCCACCTCGTGACAACAACGAACTTGAGCGTGTGGTCCTTGCCCAGGATCTCCTCGTTGCATAAAATGTCCAGCTGGGGGAGAAGCAGGTTTGATTAGAAGCGGGGAGGTGCTCAATCCATGCTGACATGGCCACCTCGATGCTGGTGTGAAATCTGCAGCCCTTCCCCAATCATGCAAGAATGTGGCTAGAGACGGTGGTGGTGGTTCACGTATTCCTCCATCCCTACCTCACAGCCTAGACAGGGGGTGTGGTTCACGTATTCCTTCATTCCTACCTCACAGCCTAGAGACGGGATGTGACTCACGTATTCCTCTGCTCCTACCTCACAGCCTAGAGACGGGATGTGGTTCACGTATTCCTCCATCCTTACCTCACAGCCTAGAGACAGGGTGTGGTTCATGTATTCCTTTGTCCCTACTTCACACCTAAATGGAAATCCAGTGCAACATACAAGCTATGACAGAGCAGGCCTGTGCCAGTTAGGGGGATGACATTTCTGCAGGGGGTGCAGGCGCAGGGACTAGCTCCTTGCGGTTGTGGGTTCCCATTCCACCCCCACCTGGCCTGCAGCTGCCCTGTACCCTTTTTCTCTTGACGCCCAGGCCCCATCACACCCCATCTACCAAACCTGCTGTACTGAGAAATGGGAAGAGGTGGTTTGCAGCCCCATGAGCAGCCCAGACAGCTCTGGAATCGGGTACCCTGGTTCCCCAGGTGGCACAAGCACCTGAGAGGCCCACAGGGCTGATGTGTTTCCCTCCCCATACTACCCAGGCCTGGTCCACACCAGCCCCCTCCCACGGCTGCAGCCTCCAGGGGCACCTCTCCCCACAAGCCTTACCTTGGGTCCAGGCTGTCCCTCCCTCTCACCACAGTGCAAAAAGGCACTGGGCTCCCCAGTCTTTTAAAAAAATTAAACAGACTTTTTAAACAACAATTTAAGGTTCACAGCAAAATTGAGAGGAAGGTACAGGGAGTTCCCGTCCCCCTTGGCCACCCCCCAACCAACACCCTGCATGGTAGCACATTAGTCACCACCCAGGAACCTGCATTGACGTCACCTCTAGAGTCCAGAGCTGATGTCAGGTTGCCCTAGTGGCAAAGCCACAGGTGCACATACAGCAGCATTGCTGCCCAGGAGCCCTGTGCCTGTCCACTCCTACCACCCTCCCCAAGCCCCTGTAGCCTCCAGATGGTTCTGCCTTTTCCAGTGCGCCGTGCCGCAAAGCTGGAGTCACACAGCCTGCAGCCTTTTCAGAGGCGCTTCTCTACTTAGTAACAGACACTTGATTTTTCTCCCCCATGCCTGCTCCTGGCCTGACTGCTCGTTTCTTTTCAGTGGTGGATAATATTCCAGTATGGACGCACAACAGTTTATTTACCCACTCATCTACTGAAGGCCATCTTGGTCGCTTCCAAGTTTTGGTAATTATGAAGAAAGCTGCTAACAATATCCGGGTGCAGTTTTTTGTGGGGGCAGGAGATTTCGTTTAAACAACAGGGGGTATGGCTGCTGGATGGTTTGCCAAGAGTGTGTTTTGTGTTGTCAGCAGCTGCCAAGCTGCTCTCCACAGGGGTTGCAGGTTCCGCTTCCCACAGGAATGAATCTGCGTTCCCCGCATCTCCGGAGTGTGTTGTCAGTGCTTGGGATTATGGCAGTTCTACGAGGTGCGTGTGGTGCCACGTGGTTTTACTTGCATTTCCCTGATGATGTAGACAGTTCTTCAGATTCCTTTCTGGGGAAGACGTGAAGCAGCCCCATCTGTCTGAGTGGCTGGGTTGCGGGGCTGAGAGGCACGGTCACCGCAGCAACAGCGAAAACCTCACACTCTTCCCTGGAGGAACCAGCCCTGTGCTGGGAAATGGCCGACCCCTTCCCCACCCCCTGCAGCCCCACTGCCCCCGTGGCTTCCCGCTCCACCTCCACATGAAAATCCAAGGACTTCCTCGGCCTGCTCCGTCCCCAGCTACCATCCATCTTTTCTGTTTCGCTACACAGAAAAGCAAACAAAACAACTGAAACTTAGCAAAAAGACTTTCCCCATTTCCTCCTCTCCCTTCCTGCAATGTCCTGACTTTTCTCCATGGGCTCTAGGCAGCCCGTGCTCACTGAGTCTCCCCAACCCCAGTGTGCTGTCTGTATCCCCTGCCAACATGTGGGACACTCAAGGCTGGCACTAGCCCCCCATGATCTGACACAGCCTCTGCTCTGTGTCACCACAGCAGCTACGCCTGTTCCGAGACGCCACACCGCCCCCCCCCTCCGCCAACCAAGCAGCCGCAGGCCTGCAGTCATTCCTGACCCCTTCCTTTTCTCTGCATCGCCACCCAAATACATCAGCAACTTATTGTGGCTTTCTCTGAATTAGTCTCCCACGGCTACCACGGAAATTAGCACAATGAGCGTGGTGGCTTCAAACAATAGAAATGTACTCAGTTCCAGAGTCCATAAGAGTCACGCTCCCTCTGCAGGCTGCCAGGGAGAAGCACAGTCCATTCCGTGTTGCTGCCACAGCACGCCACACACTGGGTGATTTATGAAGAACCCAGTTCTTCATAACCCAGAACTTCAGCACAGTTCTGGGAGCTGCGGCATTCAAGGTCACCACGTTGCCACTTGTGAAGGCCTTCTGCTGGGTCCGCACGTTGGGAAAGAAGAGGGAGAACCCATGCTGGCCAGTCCTTTCACAGCAGCATCGATCTGTGCATGGGGCAGGGCCCTCGGTCTGAGTGCCTCCCCCAGGCCCTAACTCCCAGCACTGCCCCGCTGGGGATGGAATTTCCAACATATGAATCTGGGGGATGCCTTTGGACCACAGCAGGGGAGCCTGCCCTGGCTTCCAGCTGCTGGTGGCCCAGGCACTCCCTGGCTCGCCTCAAGGCTGCCTCCCTCCAGCCTCCAATCCGTCCTCTGCTCTGTCCTCACCAGGGCCTCCTGTCCCATCTTGAGTCTTCCTCTGCCTCACTTGTCATGGGATTTAGGCTCCACCCATACATTCCAGGATTATTTCATCTCAAAATCCTTCACTCAATTATATCTACAAAGATCTTTTTCCAAATAAGGTCCCATTTGTAGGCTCTGGGGGTGAGGACATGGCTTATCTTCTGGGGCCCACCGCTGAGCCCACTGCTGCTCCAGAGAGCATCTCAAGTCTGTCCACTTCTCCACCCTGACTGCCCCCACCACAGTCCTCCTCTTCTGCGACTCCTGGTGCTGGCCTCTCCTGTGTCCGTTTCTGCACAGCCTGAGCAATTTTCAAAAACGACACCTCAGACCCATGCTCCTGCCCACAGCCACCAGTGCCTTCTCTCTCCACGAAGAGCTGGACCCTGCTGGCGCCTGCATCTCCATGGTGTCACCGCCTTGGGGGCTCACAGGGACCCACACTGGCATGTTCGTGATGCACCCGCTGCCAAGGCCACCTCACGCCAGTATTCCTTCATCTCCTTACGCACCACAGCCTGGAAAGGTCCTCCCTCTCTCCATCCGCCCATGTCTCCCCTTGTGAAATTAAAGCACAGAATTTCTCGTTGCGAGGAAAACCTTTACCCTATTTTAAAACAATCTCATCATCCCCGCCCTAGTTCTCTCTTCCACTCACAGTGGCGTTCCACGTTCCCTGTCTCTGGGCATCCTCCTATCCTGCTCCCTGGTGGAGCAGGGAAAACTGATTTTTTTCTGATTAAAATCTCCAAAGTTGTTAAAAACAAAACGAAACTAAGCAAAGAATCTTAGAAGTGTCACTTTTACAAATAAGAGAGGACTTGTTATGGTTTCTACTTGGGGATCAACTGTTACCTCGTTAAAGGACGAAAGGTTGAGTTTTTTGGCGATGAACTTCTTTAGATGCAAGACGGTCGCCTGGGCGGAGCAGCGGATCCACTTCCGCTTCAGTCCCCGCAGTTTGCTGCTGTTACACTCTAGGCAGATGCTCACCTGCAGGAAAGGACGCTGGTGAGAACACAGCAGACAGGCTCCCCCGGACGGTTCTGGAGGCTTCCTTAGACATATTTCACTAATTCCTCAATCTAGGACTGCTGACCTTTTTAAGATCAGACATCTGCTTTGACTTCAACAGTGCAGAAAAATAATCTTACATACCTTATCTGAAAACCTGTTTATCATCTGCTTGCCATTTTGTGAACTATCACCTCACCCCGTTAATTCTGTGTGTTATTAACATAATATTTGAGAGTTAATTCCAGAGTTATTTATCCATCGCAGGCACTGAGTTCTTGGTCTCCAGCTAAGTCTGTCTGGACAAACACGGGGCAAAGAAGAGCGGGTGGCTCTGCGTCTGCGAAAGCACTCGGGGAGACAGCAACGACTGCAGGAAGACAGTAGGGAGAAGGCTTGAGCAGAGCCTCAGGTGGAAGGTCACAGCTGCCTTCCAGGTGACCAGCAGCTTGGCAGGAGACCCGCAGGATAAAAAGTGACTGAAGGGGATTGTGGAGTCCCAGCAGCCACAGGGTCCCAGTGGGTGCGAAAAGGAATCTGCCCAGGACCAGGCTCAGGACGAGTCTTCACCCGAGGGCCTGGCTGCTCGGCCCCCAAGATATGCCTGACAAGGAAGGGCGATGCTCACGGCAAACACTTCTAGAGGTGGAGCCACAACAAACGGCACAGTTAGGCCCTAAAAATGCAGTGGAAGGATGACCAGGGGGTTAACTGAAATATGTATGTCTAAAATTACAAAAGATACAAAAGGGAGGACACCAGGGGTACAGACAGGCAGGTGTTGAAGGTAATCAGACACAATTTCTAAAAATAAAAACACTGACAGAAACTAACATCTCAGTGGATGGCTGAACCACAGATTCATCTCAGCTGAGGAGAGACTGATATCCTAAAAAAAAAAAATCACTGGAGGAAGTTACCCATAAGGAGTAGAGACAAACACACCAATTAAAACAATAAAAGGAAGGCTAAGAGAAAGGGGGAAGATGGGAGCCCCAGAGAAAAGAACAGAAAGGAAAGGAAGTGTTAAGAAACAGTGACTAAGGATTTCCTACAACAGTGAAGGTCAGATTCTCAGTTTCAGGAAGCAAAATAATCCAAAATAAAAGAAATAAAAAGAAATACACACCCCGACATGGTGCAGTGACTGAGCACAGCCCATTACAGGCCCCCGCAAGAGCCACTAAGAAGAGAAGTGGATTCCGTGCAAAGAGCAAGAGAGAGATCCTTGCTGTAGGGTGAGGATGGAGTGAGGGGCTGCCTGCAAGCATCACAGGAGAGGGGCAGCACGGGGAGAAAGACCTAGAGTTCGGAGGGAGAAGAACACAGGAGAGGAGCCGCGCGGGGAGAAAGACCCGGAGTCCGGAGGCAGAAGAACTCGGGAGAGGAAGAACTCGGGAGAGGGGCAGCGAGGGGAGAGAGACCTGGAGTTTGGCGGAAGAAGTGAGAAGCGGGAGAAAGGGCGTGCCCAGTGAGAGCGGCGGTAGAGGTGCTTGTGCGGGGAGGGGCACAGACTTACAGTAACTTTGGACTTGTTTTTTTTTTTTAGACAGAGTCTCCCTCTGTCGCCAGGCTGGAGTGCAGTGACTCGATCTCAGCTCACTGCAACCTCTGCCTCCTGGGTTCAAGCGATTCTCCTGCCTCAGCCTCCCATAGCTGGGACTACAGGTGCCTGCCACCACGCCCGGCTAATTTTTTCTATTTTAGTAGAGACGGGGTTTCACCATGTTGGCCAGGATGGTCTCGATCTCCTGACCTCGTGATCTGCCCGCCTCGGCTTCCCAAAGTGCTGGGATTACAGGTGTGAGCCACCATGCCCAGCCCACTTTGGACTTTTAAAAATATAAATAGTTTAAACATTTTGTAACCACTAGTAAAACAGAAGTAGAGCTTATACCTTGCAAACTAGGGGAAGAAAGAAAGAGATTAAAGTTAGTAATTCACTTGACAACAGGGAGGAAGAAAGCATAGGAAAAAACTGACGAAAAGAGCAAAATAAAAAAATAAAGCAGGAACCAACTCAGATCCTCCATGGAAAAATCGTGGAATGTGTAAGGTAATGTGCCAGCTAAACAATTTCCTGATTTTTTTTTTTTTTTTTTTTTTTTTGAGACGGAGTCTCGCTCTGTCGCCCAGGCTGGAATGCAGTGGCGCGATCTTGGCTCACTGCAAGCTCCGCCTCCTGGGTTCACGCCATTCTCCTGCCTCAGCCTCCCGAGTAGCTGGGACTACAGGCGCCCGCCACCTCGCCCGGCTAGTTTTTTGTATTTTTTTTTAGTAGAGACGGAGTTTCACAGTGTTAGCCAGGATGGTCTCGATCTCCTGACCTCGTGATCCGCCCGTCTCGGCCTCCCAAAGTACTGGGATTACAGGCGTGAGCCACCGCGCCAGGCCAAAAGTTTCTGATTTTTAAAAAAACCTAACTCTATGTTGTAAACAGTGTCACATTTAAGACACTTTAAGAACAGAAATACCACACAAGTATTAACCAACAGAAAGCTGGCATAGCTAGATTAGTATTAGTCAAGCAGACTTTAAGAAACAGAGCTTAATGAGGAAGAAGCCCCCTAAAGACAAGAAACATTTCTATACGGGACACAGCTGGTGACAAAAGCGTGCCGACAGAATGGCCGTGGTGGGCTTCACGTCTCTGTAAGCAGCGGACGTGCCCTGCCCTCAACAGGCAGCCGCTGTCTCAGGCTCAGGGAACAGGCGCGCCAGGCACGCACACACAAGTCTGAGGCAGCAGGGTCTGCAGTGTGTGGGGCCCACAGGGCAGCAGGAAGGGGCTGCACTGATGAATGCCGGCCTGCATGCACCTGAGGGAAAACGCAGACACATACAGGCGGGGGCGGGGTCAGGGGTGGGGGGGGATTGTGGAAGGAAAACAAGAAAATGTTTACATTTGCTCAGATTTGCATACATACAGGAGATAATCACACAGTGGTTCTCTATAGGTCACTACAGACAGTGACACAGATGAGAACAAAATTAAACCTTTTCTATAATATTAATCTTAGGACTAAACCAATGTATTACCTATTTAAATACACTTTAAGTTACAAGCACACTTCTAATTTTTAGGCTTTATTATGGCACAGTTTACACACCTCTTTTATGTATATGATGCAATAATCTTCCATACATTCACAGACTTTCTCGATGATCGCCATGGCAGTCTGGGATGGTTTCCATCACCTCAGAACCCCCCATCAGGCCCTTCTGCAATCTGACCCTGCTGGGGGAGTGGGGTGGGGAGTGAGTGTTTAATGGGGGCAGAGCTTCAGTTTGGGAAGATAAAAAGGCTCTGGAGATGATGGTGGTGGCGGCTGTACAACACTGGGTTTGTACCCAAGGCCACTGAACCACACACCTGAAAATGGTTAAAATGGCATATTTTATGTGCATTTAACACAATTTAGAAAGCTGGTAAAAAAAAAAAATGAAAATTTAAAAATTATTTTAATAAGAACCAAATTATGCAGCTGGAAAGTAAAGGAATGTTCAACTCTAGAGTTTAGAAAAGAGCCGGGTGCAGTGGCTCACACCTGTAATCCCAGCACCTCGGGAGGCTGAGGCGGCTGGATCATTTGAGGTCAGGAGTTCGAGACCAGCTGGGCCAACATAGTGAAATCCCATCCATAATAAAAATACAAAAATTAGACGGGCATAGTGGCATGTGCCTGTAATCCCAGCTACTCAGGAGGCGGAGGTGGGAGACTCACTTGAACCAGGGAGGCAGAGGTTGCAGTGAGCCGAGATTGTGCCCCCACACTCCATCCTGGAATATAGAGTAAGACTTCGTCTCAAAAAAAACCCCCAAAAAACAAAAAAAAACAAAGGCTGGGTGTGGTGGCTCATGCCTGTAATCCCCGTATTTTGAGAGGCCAAGGCAGGTGGATCACCTGAGGTTGGGAGTTCAAGACTAGCCTGATCAACACGGAGAAACCCTGTCTCTAAAAATACAAAAAATTAGCCGGATGTGGTGGCGTGCGCCTGTAATCCCAGCTACTCTGGAAGTCTGAGACAGGAGAATAGCTTGAATCCGGCAGGCAGAGGTTGCGGTGAGCCGAGATCGCGCCTTGCACTCCAGCCTGGGCAACAAGAATGAAACTCCATCTCAAAAAAAAAAAAAAAAAAAAAAAAAGGACAATTCTGAAGAAGAAAAATGAGGGGGACCTACTCTCCCAGAAGACCACAGCTTAATGGTAAAATAAATCATTGCAATTCACTTAAGTTCCTTGTTGTTTTGGCACAACGGGAGACAAGAGACCAGCAGAACAGAGCAGAGAGCCCGGGGGGACCTGACAGTGTGGAAACCTGGCAAAGTTGAACCCACCCATCCATTCTACACACAAGGTCAACTGTAGGGGCTTACAACCCAAATGGGAAAAGCAAACCTTTCAAATATGTTACAAGACAACGTAGAAGAATGTATTTATGACCTTAGAATGGGGAAACATTTTTAAGACACAAAAGAAAATACCGAGAAATTTAATTATGTCAAATTTAAAACTGTGGATGATGGTAGGTTGAAGAAAGCCAACAGCCACAGAAGGAAAGACGATCGCTGCGGTGAGCGCGGGGCGGTGAGGGAAGAGGCAGCCCTGCAGCTCACGTGAGGAAAAGTCAGGCTGCCCAGGACAGAGACGGGCAAAGAACAAGTAAGCAACTCACACGCAGAGGAGCCCAGAGACGTGCGATGAGCCGCTGGACACCCCACACACAGGAGACTGATCAGAAATAACACAGATACCGTGGAACACACCTGCCCAGGGGGACAGGTGCAATGTCTTAGAAGAGTGATGGGCCGGTCACCACCTAAAAGTCTCCAATGTTAGAACAGATGGGAAATTAAGTGTAAAAACGTCACAGCGTACCAACACGTGCCACGCACACACTGTGCACACACTGCGCGCTCCGCGACACCACGTGGCCCTGTGTGTACACGGCAGTCACCATCAAGCGGTTACGTTACA